GTTATAAAAAATAATGTAAATTATGCGGTTTCATAAATGCAATACATGTACAATGTCGTGGAATTTAATATTAATTTTTATAAGTTAAAGTTTATAGATTTCCGATATATTAATATAATACAATGTAATAATATGCGTTGGAAATATAAAAATATATTTTCTATAATCAGAAATTTATAAAGTTTAAGGGCAAAAAAATAGTTAAAATTAAACATTAAAATATAAAGAAAAATAAAAAGGAAAAGAAAGTCAACGCGAAGCATAATTTTCATATAAATATTTTTAAAATTATTAAAATTTTCTGTATACTTTTTGTTTCACGTTCAAAGGAAAAGAGTTCAGAATTTTCAGGCTATCAAGATAAACTAGTCGTTTAAATCTAGTTTAAATCTAAAAAAGTTCCAATATTTTATGGAAGTGAATATAAAGAATGAGAAGAACTGTATCAAACGAAAGCGCTCTTTAATCAAGAAAATCGCGTATTTCCTCGTCTCTTCTGTAAACTGTCCTTCTTACTATATGAAATGCAGCTAAAAATGTCGTGTTATTACATCTATAATTGAAGACAAGCCGTAAGGCTTCACGAGTTCAAGTTTTGACACTGTACAATTTACATTTTCTACTCTTTTCAATTATCTGTTTTTCTTTCTACAATAAAGCGTTTCTTTGAGGGAAAGCAAAATTCTTCATTTTTGATAGAATAATTTAATAAGACGACGTATTTTTAATATATGCATTCTGTAATAAATAACTTAACCTAAATTTAATTTATTTTTAATTGTATTAATTAATTTTAACTTAATTAATCAATATCAGTCTTTGAGAAAAAATTAAATCCTTATAATATAAAAAAACAATTTCATTTTATTACATCTATGATATACTTTTAAAAAATAATTTTAAATTTTATCGACTTAATTTAAATTTTAATTAAATTTAAATCAAATTAATATTTTTCCCTAAAAAAAAAAATAATTAAAATAAGAAAAAATAATTATTCTTAACAATTAAATAAAATAATGCTATATTTAAAAACGAGAAATTTTCGCATATCATTCTAATTGAATAAGATATGGTAGATTGTGATAATCTCTGTCTTCGTGATTTGTTGTGTAGTATTTCGATATTTCATATATGATAGCCTGCATTTGTACATACAATAGAATGGTTGAAACACGAATCGATACAACCGTGTACTTATAGATACTGGTCCAATAATATTAACCGCAATTCCTCAATTTCATCGTCTATAACTGTTCCAATATTTCTACGTTTCCATTCTAACCTAGTAAAGCACTCTTTTCACGTGCTTCCTTGACGTACTTTCTCATATACTTTAATCTACATGATCAACGAGATTTATTTTCTTATACTTTATTATATATACCTTATATACTTTAGTATTGCTGCTTTATTTCTATATATAAGAGATGTAATATTTAAAATAAATATTTTTTTTAGTACAATTACTTCTATCTGCTTTAGTTTTTACATTCACATAAGAAATTTTTTCTTAAATAATTTTAATTAATTTCATTATTTAATTTAAATATAAGATATAAAAATTATATAAAAAAAATAATTCTCGATGCAATCTTATACAATATTTAATAAATATAGTAATAATTATATATAGATAAAAAGAAATGGATCACATAAATCGTTCGTTTGTCACTTGAAATAAATAATAAGCTCGTAATTAATCAAACGAGTTCTTCTTCCTTTTGAATCACAGAAAAATATATTCGATTTCTCAATTATTTCGTGCGAAACGATACATCTCATTTATAATTTCAATCTCGTTATCAGTAATCCACCAGTGTCGAGAGAGATGACACATTAATTACATTTAACGCACTATACCTCTTTAATAACTAATTCACTTTAATAGTCTTTTATCCTTTAAAACAACACTCGTTTGACTGGCCTAGATCCTTACGAAGGATGTTCTCATCATAATCAATTATCTATCGTTCTGATTCACCTCTCTATTGCATATTAAAAAGATATTTAATAATCAAGATTTGTTTTTTTTAATGAACTTTTTTTTGAATGAAATAACATTTTTTTTCATTTGAAATAATGATATAATGATACAATATGTAATCATTATATATGTAATCATTACATAATTTTATATGGAGAACAATTTATTTTTCTACAAAAAACAATTTTCTTATTTTTTCTCTTCTTTTTTTCAGTTGTTGGAAATTTTTAACTTCGTTAACTTCATTAAATGAATGAATCTTCCTTTGTAATTGTTGAAATTATTTGATAATCCAACAAGTTAATAATTTATTTATAAAATACAGGATAAATAATTATTTGTACTTAACGAAAATGATTAAATTTTATATAAATTTAATTAAAATTTAATATATTATCAATATATTAAAATGAATAATTTTATCGTTTTAATTCCGATTAATTTGTAAATTACATATTATAATGTTAGCATATTAAATATGGAAAATAAAGAATAAAATATTATTTGAATATAGATACATATTTTATAGAAAATTTAGTAATAAAACATCGCACGAATTGCAACTAAAATTGAAATTAAATAAGGAAGAGCTGGTAAATAAAAATTGAAAACGCCAATCAATGTTCAATGGAGCCAGAAACTAGTACATACATATAGGAAAACATGATAACTTTTGCATAGTATCCTTTTAAACAATAAAACACTATAAAAATATTTTTTTTACAAATATTTACATATATTTTTTTGTCTATATAAAAAAAAATTCAATGGAATGAAAAATTAATGAAAAATAAGTGAGATAATGAAAAAAGCGTAATAAAATCTTTATTTTATAATACCAACAATGTTTGTTTACTTCTATCTTAAATATATTATGTATTTAATAATTTATAGAAATCTCATATTTTGACAGAAAGAAATATTGTAATAAAAAAATATCTAAATCGTTTTGAGAACCGTTCTAAAGAATCTAGCTGATCACCATTCCACCTACCGATCACTATTCAATAACGCCAAAATGAGTGTCGACTAGAGATCAATTTCAATATGTACTTTGAATCCAAGTAAATTCCAATATAAAAGTTTCACTTCGTGGAATTTGATAGAGTTTGAACCTATTTCATCTGGGTTTATTTACTGAGTCTACGAATATTATATATATATATATATATATATTTTAATATTATAAAACAAAATAACTTATTCAAAATATTCAAATCGGATTCTAACCTATTAAATATATTTAATCTGTATCAAAGCTCTCACAAATTCCATAGTAAATTGAACCGAAGCATTATAATACGAGTACAAATAAACACACTTAATTCCATCTTTAACAACAATTTTCATAAATTCACTATGTCAATCCTAGTCTTTTAATCTTAACGACAAAATAAGAAACAATATTAAACGAACTAGTTCTTATAAAAACACGTTGATACACATTCACAATCCAATTTCCACTCTCATCTCAAAAATATTCATTGTCGTAAAGATAGCCAACTGTCAAACCCAAAAATCCCAATTCCTCTTCAAATAGCAAAATGTCAGAATAAAAAAACAATACTAATCGAAGAATTTGTTATAAAAATCAAATGATATCCATTCACAATCCACAATAGCGATTCAATAGAAATCAGTAATCATCTCGCAAGCTTTTATCATCGTAAAATGTGCCAGAATCATGACAATAAAAACTATCGAGAGTTAGCCAGAAAGGCGGAGATAGTTGATTCCATTGATGTCTCTTTATTCACTGGTCGTTTTACGCGTAAGGATCCGTCCCTATAATCGGGTCGCGACACGAGGAACACTTGAGAAAATTAGAAGCAGAGAAAATTTCACGCCGGGAGCCGAATCGATCAGAACTCGGAAGAAACTCGCCCACGTTTTCACTGGTGGATGGTTTCGAGTGTGTGCAGTCGAGAATCTCGATACCATGATGAAAAACGACTATGAAAGAGAAAAGTAGAATGACTCGAACGAAGCAGTGAATCGAAGGGATACAATTATCGATTAGAATCGACAGAGCTCGCGCACAATCGATATATAACGATAGTTAAAAGTAAGTACACATATATAGAAATGATATTTATTTAATATTGGCATATAATGAGAATCAAGTAATTATATACATCACAAAAATATTATTTATTTAGTATTGATCAATTATCTATTTTATCGAATTCACGAAATTAAAAGAAAGTTAGGTTATTTTAAAAAATATTGTCATTCATATGTCTGACATAAAAAGAAAGAAAATATAATTTTTTATTACAATATATAGTGAAAGCTAAACATGAATATACAATAAATTCATTTATTAAATTTTACGTTGTACATGTATTAATTAAAAAAATACAAATTATGTATGAAAATAAATTAATGAAAAATATAAGTATTTTTATAATGTATTGTATTTAATATTGTTTTAAATACGTTATTATAAAATAATATTTTGTGAAGTTTGTGAACATTATTTTGAGTTCTGTATAATTTCATCACATAAATTCCATTTCTTTAAAGTGCACTCATATTTTTGTTTCTTATTGTACGTATATAAAAATTATTAGACATGAAAGGGAAAAAGGATATGATAGAGGATAGTTTCGAAAGAATGAGAAGAACTACAAAAATTGATAAGCGCAAATAAAGAAGTCAGAAATAAAACTAGGAGAAAATTTACAGAAACAAATGTCATGAACGACCTTTCGTGAAAATAATTCCAAAATTGAATGACGGAATCTAATTGGATTGCATGATGATCGAGGGTCTAGATTTTATTTCTTCGAACGAAATTCTGCTCCCTTATGTTCTTATCTCAAATTTATTACAAAAGAATAGAGAAGTTTATGGGTCATTTAGATGTTTGTCTTTTCCTTTCGATAAGAAAATGCAAAATATTGATCATACATGAGAGACAATTGACAGACTAGAACTATTTATTATATATGTATATGTATTCTATATATAGTAACTATAAAAACTATTTTTAAATTTTCATTAAAAAATGTTTTCAAAAAATCAAGCGACTTTCTTTATATTTGAACTATAATGATACATAAATATTTTTTTAAGACATTGTAGATTATCAATTGTGATTATCATATTGAAACAGTATTGTGAGAATATTTTTTAAATATTTTAAAATCATCAGTGATATGAATACAATCTTTTTAAGATAAATTTTTTCTTTTAATAATAATATTATATTAATTCACTATATTATATATACTAATGCGAAATATATAATAAATAAAAAAGAATATAGACTAAATCAGTTTAATTTTCAAATGTAATTCTCAATATTAAATTTTATTTCTAATAATATCCTACATGCAACAATATTTTTTATTTATAAAATTATAATTTGAACTTTTTTCAATATACTATTCATTAATCTCAATTCAAATCGCTATTCTTCAAAGAACTATCTCCAAAACCCTATCCATATTCCCAAAATAGATTTATTTACTAAACCAAGAACCATCATTGAAAAACGGTAACCACCTTCGTTCGTATCATCATAGAAACAACATCCTCTTATGAAAACTTAGGAAACCCTACAACTTTCCTTGAATCGAAATTCCTTGCCACTTCGCGATCCAAAAGGGAGAACCAAACAAGAATCTCACTCTCTCTTTCTCTCTCTCTTCTCTCTCTCTCT